GTGAACCCTGTGTATTGTGAACCCTGTGTATTGTGAACCCTGTGTATTACGAACCCTGTGTATTAAGAGCCCTGTGTATTGTGAACCCTGTGTATTATGAACCCTGTGTATTGTGAACCTGTTGTATTGTGAAAACCCTGTGTATTATGACCCTGTGTATTATGAACCCCGTGTATTGGAACCCCGTGTTTTGTGAACCCTGTGTATTATGAACCCCGTGTATTTTTGAAAACCCTGTGTATTGTGAACCCTGTGAATTATGAACCTGTGTATTGTGAACCCTGTGTATTGTGAACCCCGTGTATTGTGAACCCTGTGTATTATAAACTCTGTGTATTGTGAACTCTGTGTATTATGAACCCTGTGTACTGTGAACCCTGTGTATTATGAACAATGTGTATTGTGAACCCTGTGTATTGTGAACCCTGTGTATTATGAACCCTTTTGTTTTTATGAACCCCGTGTTTTTTTAAAACCCTGTGTATTGTGAACCTGTGTATTGTGAACCCTGTGTACTGTGAACCCTGTGTATTGTGAACCCTGTGTACTATAAACCCTGTGTATTATAAACCCTGTGTATTGTGAACCCTGTGTATTGTGAACCCTGTGTACTGGGAACCCTGTGTATTGTGAACCCTGTGTATTATGAACCCTGTGTATTATGAACCCTGTGTATTGTTAACCCTGTGTATTGTGAACCCTGTGTATTGTGAACCCTGTGTATTAAGAGCCCTGTGTATTGTAAACCCTGTGTATTATGAACCCTGTGTATTTTGAACCCTGTGTATTGTGAACCCTGTGTATTATGAACCATGTGTATTATGAACCCTGTGTATTGTGAACCCTGTGTATTGTAAACCCTGTGTATTATGAAACATGTGTATTGTGAACCCTGTGTATTGTGAACCCTGTGTATTATGAACCTTGTGTATTGTGAACCCTGTGTATTGTGAACCTTGTGTATTGTGAACCCTGTGTATTATGAACTCTGTGTATTGCGAATTCTGTGTATTATGATTCCTGTGTATTGTGAACCCTGTGTATTGTGAACCCCGTGTATTATGAACTCTGTGTATTGTGAACCCTGTGTTATGAACCCTGTGTATTGTAAACCCTGTGTATTATGAACCCTGTGTATTGTGAACCCTGTGTATTATGAACTCTGTGTGTTATGAACCCTGTGTATTATGAACCCTGTGTATTATGAACCCTGTGTATTATGAACCCTGTGTATTATGAACTCTGTGTATTGTGAACCCTGTGTATTATGAACCCTGTGTATTATGAACTCTGTGTATTATGAACCCTGTGTATTATGAACCCTGTGTATTATGAACTCTGTGTATTGTGAACCCTGTGTATTATGAACCCTGTGTATTATGAACTCTGTGTATTGTGAACCCTGTGTATTATGAACCCTGTGTATTATGAACCCTGTGTATTAATGAACCTGTGTATCTGAACTCTGTGTATTGTGAACCCTGTGTATTATGAACCCTGTGTATTATGAACCTTGTGTATTATGAACCCTGTGTATTATGAACCCTGAGTATTATGAACCCTGTGTATTGTGAACCCTGTGTATTATGAACCCTGTGTATTATAAACCCTGTGTATTATGAACTCTGTGTATTGTGAACCCTGTGTATTATGAACTCTGTGTATTATGAACCCTGAGTATTATGAACCCTGTGTATTATGAACCCTGAGTATTATGAAGCCTGTATATTGTGAACCCTGTGTATTATGAACCCTGTGTATTATGAACCCTGAGTATTATGAACCCTGTGTATTGTGAACCCTGTGTATTATGAACTCTGTGTATTGTGAACCCTGTGTATTATGAACCCTGTGTATTATGAACCCTGTGTATTATGAACCCTGTGTATTATGAACCCTGTGTATTATGAACTCTGTGTATTGTGAACCCTGTGTATTATGAACTCTGTGTATTGTGAACCCTGTGTATTATGAACCCTGTGTATTATGAACCCTGTGTATTATGAACCCTGTGTATTATGAACCCTGAGTATTATGAACCCTGTGTATTGTGAACCCTGTGTATTATGAACTCTGTGTATTGTGAACCCTGTGTTTATGAACCCTGTGTATTTTGAACCCTGTGTATTATGAACCCTGGTATTATGAACCCTGTGTATTATGAACTCTGTGTATTGTGAACCCTGTGTTATTATGAACTCTGTGTATTGTGAACCCTGTGTATTATGACCTGTGTATTATGAACCCTGTGTTTATGAACCCTGTGTATTATGAACCCTGTGTATTATGAACCCTGTGTATTATAAAAACCCCGTGTATTATGAACTCTGTGTATTTTGAACCCTGTGTATTATGAACTCTGTGTATTATGAACCCTGTGTATTGTGAGCCCTGTGTATTATGAACCCTGTGTATTATGAACCCTGTGCATTATGAACTCTGTGTATTATGAACCCTGTGTATTGTGAACCCTGTGTATTATGGGAAACCCTGTGTATTATGAAAAAACCCTGTGTATTATGAACCCTGTGTATTATGAACTCTGTGTATTGTGAACCCTGTGTATTGTGAACCCTGTGTATTGTGAACCCTGTGTATTGTGAACCCTGTGTATTGTGAACCCTGTGTATTATGAACCCTGTGTATTATGAACCCTGTGTATTATGAACTCTGTGTATTATGAACCCTGTGTATTGTGAACCCTGTGTATTATGAACCCTGTGTATTGTGAACCCTGTGTATTATGAACCCTGTGTATTGTGAACCCTGTGTATTATGAACCCTGTGTATTATGAACCCTGTGTATTATGAACCTGTTTTTATTTATGAACCCTGTGTATTATGAATCTGTGTATGTGAACCTGTGTATTGTGAACCCTGTGTTTTTGTGAACCCTGGGGTATTGTGAACCCTGTGTATTGTGAACCCCGTGTATTATGAACCCTGTGTATTATGAAACCCTGTGTATTATGAACTCTGTGTATTATGAACCCTGTGTATTGTGACCCTGTGTATTATGAACCACTGTGTATTATGAAACCCTGTGTATTTGAAACTCTGTGTATTGTGAACCTGTGTATTTTGAACCCTGTGTACTGCGAACCCTGTGTATTATGAACTCTGTGTATTATGAACCCTGTGTATTATGAACTCTGTGTATTGTGAACCCTGTGTATTATGAACTCTGTGTATTGTGAACCCTGTGTATTATGAACTCTTTGTATTATGAGCCCTGTGTATTATGAACCCTGTGTATTATGAACTCTGTGTATTGTGAACCCTGTGTATTGTGAACCCTGTGTATTGTGAACCCTGTGTATTGTGAACCCTGTGTATTGTGAACCCTGTGTATTATGAACCCTGTGTATTATGAACCCTGTGTATTATGAACTCTGTGTATTATGAACCCTGTGTATTGTGAACCTGTGTATTTGAACCCTGTGTATTATGAACCCTGTGGGATTTTGAACTGTGTATTATGAACTCTGTGTATTGTGAACCCTGTGTATTATGAAACCCTGTGTAATGCGAACCCTGTGTATTATGAATGGTTGTATTTATTTAACCTGTGTATTATGAACCCTGTGTATTATGAACCCTGTGTATTATGAACCCTGTGTATTATGGAACCCTGTGATTATGAACTCTGTGTATTATTTAAAACCCCGTGTATTATGAATCTGTGTATTATGAACCCTGTGTATTATTTAACTCTGTGTATTATGAACTCTGTGTATTTTTGAACTCTGTGTATTATGAACCCTGTGTATTTTTGAACCCTGTGTATTATGAATTCTGTGTATTTTTGAACCCTGTGTATTATGAACCCTGTGTATTATGAATTCTGTGTATTATGAACCCTGTGTATTATGAACCCTGTGTATTATGAACTCTGTGTATTATGAACCCTGTGTATTATGAACCCTGTGTATTGTTAATCTTGTGTATTATGAACCCTGTGTATTATGAACCCTGTGTATTATGAACCCTGTGTATTATGAACCCTGTGTATTATGAACCCTGTGTATTATGAACCCTGTGTATTATGAACTCTGTGTATTATGAACTATGTGTATTGTGAACCCTGTGTATTATGAACCCTGTGTATTATGAACCCCGTGTTTTTTTGAACCCTGGTGTATTATGAACCCCGTGTATTATGAACCCTGTGTATTATGAACCCTGTGTATTATGAACCCTGTGTATTATGAACACTGTGTATTGTTAATCTTGTGTATTATGAACCCTGTGTATTATGAACCCTGTGTATTATGAACCCTGTGTATTATGAACCCTGTGTATTATGAACCCTGTGTATTATGAACTCTGTGTATTATGAACCCTGTGTATTATGAACCCTGTGTATTATGAACCCTGTGTATTGTTAATCTTGTGTATTATGAACCCTGTGTATTATGAGCCCTGTGTATTATGAAAACTGTGTATTATGAACCCTGTGTATTGTGAATCCTGTGTATTATGAACTCTGTGTATTGTGAACCTTGTATATTGTGAACCCTTTGTATTATGAACTCTGTGTATTGTGAACCCTGTGTATTATGAACTCTGTGTATTGTGAACCTTGTATATTGTGAACCCTGTGTATTATGAACTCTGTGTATTATGAACCCTGTGTATTATGAACTCTTGCGTAATATGAACCCTGTGTATTATGAACCCTGTGCATTATGAACCCTGTGAATTGTAAACCCTGTGTATTATGAACCCTGTGTATTGTGAGCCCTGTGTATAATGAACCCTGTGTATTGTGAACCCTACGTACTGTGAAACCTTGTATATAGTGAACCCTTGTGTTTAGTGAACCCTGCATACTGTGAACCCTTGTGTATAGTGAACCCTGTGTATAGTAAGTTAATATCTAAGCTATCCTTGATGAAATAGAGAGTTAGAGAGTTTGAGAGTTAGAGAGTGAGAGTGAGAGAGAGAGAGTGAGAGAGAGAGAGAGTGAGAGAGAGAGAGAGTGAGAGAGAGAGTGAGAGAGAGGGTGGGTATACTGACCTCGGTCTGGTAGACTTGGGTATGGGCATCCACGCCCCTGGGAGTGATGAAAGACATGGGTGCCATGGGCACGTCCTGACTCCACGTATCTGGGGTCTGAGCTTCTGTCTGTACCTCTGGAGGGCGTTCCAGCTGTGGAGAGAGCCGGTTGTGGTTAGTAGATGGTAGTAGTGGTGGTGGTAGACGTGCTGGTAGTTGGCATACACTTGATCCAGTGCCTCGTATCAGACCACAAGAGACCTTTACATTGATTCAAAACAGACCTGAATGCCAAGGAACTGTGCGACCCCCTACGGGTTTAGTATTAGGTCTTATTGCTTACTGGTCAGAGTAACACATATATCACGCCATGATTACTATAGTGCCCTAGGACATGTATCATGGTGGCCATGATTACTATAGTCCACTAAGACATATATCATGGTGGCCATGATCACTGTAGTCCACCAGGATATGTATCATGGTGGCCATGATCACTATAGTCCACTAGGACATGTATCATGGTGGCCATGATCAGTATAGTCCACCAGGACATGTATCATGGTGACAATGATCACTATAGTTCACTAGGACATGTATCATGGTGGCCATGATCACTGTAGTTCACTAGGACATGTATCATTGTGGCCATGATCACTGTAGTGCACTAGGACATGTATCATTGTGGCCATGATCACTGTAGTGCACTAGGACATATATCATGGTGGCCATGATCACTGCAGTGTACTAACATATATCATGGTGGCCATGATCACTACAGTGCACTAGGACATATATCATGGTGGCCATGATCACTATAGTGCAATAACATATATCATGGTGGCCATGATCACTATGGTCCACCACAAGACATTAACTTACTGGTTCGTAATAATTATCAGTCTGCACATAGACATGGGATCTCTGGAAGCTCCTGTGGCTACCACCATGAGAGGAGTATAGTGAGGACATGCCAGGATGCTCTCTCCTGTGTCTGACTCTAGCCTCCAGCTTCTCTCGGAACTCTTGTCTTCTCTGATGGTGATGCTGCATCTCTGGCTCCATCATCTCGTGCTGTGGGCAGATGAATCATGATTAGTGATGCTGATGTTAGTGATGATTGTGTTAGTGGTGATGGTGCTAGTGATGATGGTGTTAGTGATGATGGTGTTAGTGATGATGGTGCTAGTGGTGATGGTGCTAGTGATTAGATTTTGCCACCGAAGTGGCTAGTTTATTGCGCACCCCATATCCATCCTGTGGAGGGTAGCACAAGAGCATATGGATACACAAAAGGCCCAGAAACTAGGCCCCAAAGGAGTTAACAGGTGTACATCTGGATTTATATCTACAGTTCACTTATCTGTTACAAGCAAATTTAGAAAATTTGCTTAGTTGTGAACGGTTTATTGGTAATGCTGGTAGCGGGGAGTAAATGATACGTCTTCGGAGGCTTCTTTCTTTATTTGCAATGTAGTGGTGGGTGCACAGGCTTGTGTGTTGTGCCCATGGCCTAGGTGGCCATGCCCACGAGAGGGAACTATTAGGCCTTGTGTCTTCCTGCTAGGCCGCTGTGTGAGTGTGTGGGACCAGCTTCCCACAGACCTGGACAGGCCCAGAGGGCAGCACTTGAGTGGCGCGAAATATGAACTAAGCTGGCAGACAGTACAGGCTGTCTACATTCGCTCGGCCACCTACCGTGCATCGTCCCGATGCGACAATACTGGTGGTAAAAAAAACTCGGTCTCTCTCTCATAGAAACAGGGCACAGAACATAAAATAAAGAACATATACATATGGACATGGAAAACAAAAACTTCCTACAGGGAGGGAAGAAAAAAACATGTGGGGTGTGCTAAACTTCGTGGTCATAGGCAGTGAGCGTCGAAGGGCATCACTGCACGCCTTCCTGCGTCTGGACAGATACTTCAACACAGGAGACATCACTGCGGCTGAGCTGTGACGTAACAGGGTACGGTCTCCTCTGGAACGGTGAAGCAGTCATCGTAGGAGCCACTGCAGGTTTTCACTCAACCTCGGGCACGACATGCTGGTGCCCTCGAGTGAAGCATCAACAAAACTCGGCAACTGAGCAAGACTTCTGGCAAGTGACTCAGGAGGACACTTCTCGACTGGTACTGTCGCTGGGCTGTCACTGCCGGCGAGCGTGGAGCGAGTCGTGGCAGAGACGACTGGGTAAAACACCTGGGAGTCATAACATCATACACCAGACTGCAGTGAGCGAGCTAGCAGTCAAAGTGACATCTTCTTTGTGCAGGCTGCTCACTAAAGCTTGTGACACAAGGCTGACACAGCGCCTGCCAACAGGGCTAACTGCAGCTTGACGAGTGTCATTCTCTCGGCAGTTGGAGTTATAGCAGTGGTTAGTCTAAGCGTCCCCAGACTTGTTTATCTACATATAACTGCACTCTGAAGGTCTGGAGGTGAAGTGAAACAAATCTCGATGGGAATCATAGCAGGTACGATTCTGCAGAACATCACGAGCGACGAGCATAAGAGCTTTCTGTACAAGGGGGCTCGGGCTCAGAGCTGACTGATAACAGCTATCAAATGCACTGGTCACACTGGGTGACTAACACAGTGGTGCTACTCAGGTTTGGCCACAGACCTCACTTGACACACAGAAACTACACACACCCTCAGTACATGCGGTACAACATGGCTTAAACTAGCAAATGATGCTTTTCTGTGCACAAAACTGACACTAAGCCATACACTTAACATGTGAGAACACTGACTGAGAGGAATTAATTAACACACGACATATATCTTCTCTCAATCTTCTCGACAATACTGAAATAATTACTAGAACACTCGATGTGACATCATGTGATGTCGGAAGGTGACGTCAGCAGCACTGTGACGTCAGCAGACATCTCGAGGTGATGTGGGCAGCAGACCACAGCATGAGGCCTGGGACATCTGGCTCGGTAACTCATGTGGCTTATAGATCCACGTGACATTGCCCACACCCCACGTGGCGCCGTGATCCATGTGGTGTCGTGATCTATGTGGCATGCTGATCCACATGGCTTGCTGATCCACGTGGCTTGCTGATCCACATGGCTTGCTGATCCACATGGCTTGTTGGTGCACGTCGCTTTGAGTGGCCTCGGGCACTCGGATACACAGCTCTGGCAATGAATTCACACGAAAAACAGCAGAAAGCACAGCAGAGGGAGTGATGGCATGGTGGTGCATGGTAGTGTGGTGGCGAGGAGCGTGGGTGAGTGTATGGCGAGGGAGGATCTGGCCACTTCCTCCTCTCAAACCCACAACACGACGAAATGCACACTGGATGCAGAAATAACCAAAAAACTCACCTCTGGCTTGCTGAAACAGCTGTGTCTGAGCTGAACAACAACAGCAACATACAAGTGACACTGAACACGTGACTTGAGAAACAGTGTGGGACGCTGTAGCGTGGGGTCACTGGGACGCCACTTACAATTCTCGAAGAAATTCGGCAAATTTCGGCTGGATCCTGCTTGTACCTGTGTCTGGATGCTCAAACTTTGCAGACACACATCAGGATAACTCGTTGAGAGACGGATGCTTCTTGTATAGGGTGATAAAGTGAAGATGACTTCATCCCTTCTTCTCTCCGGGCAAACAACTGCTGTGACCACCGCTTCCCATCATTTATAAGGAGATTATGTATTTAGTGTACTGAAAGTGGGTGTGTGAATGATAGACGTCTTCGGAGGCTTCTTTGTTTATTTGTAATGTCGTGGTGGGTACACAGGCTTGTGTGTTGTGCCCATGGCCCAGGAGGCCATGCCCACAAGAGGGAAATAGTAGGCCTTGTGTCTTCCTACTAGGCCGCTGTGTGAGTGAGAGTGTGTGGGACCATCTTCCCACAGACCTGGAGAGGCCCAGAGGGCAGCACTTAAGTGGCGCAAAATATGAACTAAGCTGGTAGACAGTACAGGCTGTCTACATAGTATATCTGGTATCTTATTTTCATTAATAATATATCTTAACATGTCACATAGGTTATTATATTGTCTGTCTCTGTATTCCTCAATAAGTGAACAATTAAGCACATAGTGTTCAAGACAGTGACCATATGCCTGATCACATAATTTACATTTAGTTTGATCATCATCTGTGTGTCTCCCAAACTGCCAGAAGTACTTGTAACCAAGCCTAACCTGGCCACTACAACATCAGTCAGTACTTGTAACCAAGCCTAAGCCTGGCATAAACATAGTCATACTTGTAACCAGCCAAGCTGGTCACTACATCATCAGTCAGTACTTGTAACAAAGCCTAATCCTGGCCACTACAACATCAGTCAGTGCTTGTAACCAAGCCTAAGCCTGGCCACTACAACATCAGTCAGTACTTGTAACCAAGCCTAAGCCTGGTCACTACATCATCAGTCAGTACTTGTAACAAAGCCTAATCCTGGCCACTACAACATCAGTCAGTGCTTGTAACCAAGCCTAAGCCTGGCCACTACAACATCAGTCAGTACTTGTACCAAGCCTAAGACTTTGCCACTACAACATCAGTCAGTACTTATAACCAAGCCTAAGCCTGGCAACTACAACATCAGTCAGTACTTGTAACCAAGCCTAAGCCAGGCCACTACAACATCAGTCAGTACTTGTAACCAAGCTTAAGCCTGGCCACTACAACATCAGTCAATGTTCACATTGCAAGTTGCTCCATAAACATACTTATCATAGTGGGTTATAGATCTACTCAGGCTTCTAACTGCATTCCTATAACTATCATTTTCATTATTTACTTCTCTCCTAATATTATTCCTAATGCTTGACACAGTTATACCAAAGTTATATTCTACATTCTCCTTCTGGGTACTCTTCTTGGCTAACATATCAACTTTATCATAAAGGAGTAATCCAACGTGTGTGATGGGATCTATAGCAAGTGTGCATTAATTCCTTCTTCCCTGATTTTTGAGTATCTATACCTGGCTTCTCCAATGAGCATGTTGTTGGAGTCATTATATGAGTCAAGAGCCTTCAATGATGACATAGAATCAGTAATGATAACAGAGTCAAGCTCAGTGTCATAAGTTAGCTTTAGAGCCATTAGGATTGCAAACAATTCAGTTTGCAGTAAATTCTTATGCCTAATTCAACAAGTTTATTATGGTTCTTAACAAGGGAGGTGGCAACAAGAGCAGATGCAGCCCTGCCAGAAGACTCCTGTTTAGATCCATCAGTGTATATAACTTGTGATAACTTATTACTACCAGCTAGGTGAGAAATTTCTTCTTGAGCAGTTGCTCTAACAAGAGATTTAAGGAAGGGATTACTAGTAATGAGCTTCTTGGGAGGGACTTGTAGGTATGTGATATTAAATGAACACATCTTCCACGGAGGGGTGAAATGCTCTTGTTGCCTACAGTGATGCAGTTCATGCAGGTTATAAAACTGAATGCAATTGCACGTTTTCACAATCCATTGAGATCTGTGTGTATTTACTTCTAGACACTTATTAAGGTTCATTGTGACAGTGTATCGTTCATTTCTCAACATTCTAATACCGAGTACAGTGTTAATCTCAACAATCCTACCACTGATACTAGAAATACCAAGCTCCTTCCTCATGTTAAGAACTTTTGTAGATCTGGGACAGCCAAGAATAATCCTGAGATCTTCATTTTGCATTAACTCCAAGGGTCGGAGAGAACTTTCTCTAGCTAATATCAACATGGGAGCAGCATAATCAATTAAGGACCTAACATAGGCTATGTACATCGTTCTCACAATTCTCACATTAGCACCATAGTTGGGGTTGTAGCCAGCAACAGCTTTGAGAGCATTTAGCCTAGCTTTGCATTTCTTATTTAGTTGTGGTATAGTGGATGTGTTAAAGGGTACATCTACACCAAGATATCTGTAAGTTTTAACGTAGCTAATGTTTTCACCCTGCAAATAGATGGGTGGGGGATGTCGTTTGCTTGTTAAAATCTTTGTTTTAGAAGAAGATATTATGAGGCCTAGTCGATTACAAATTGCTTGAACTTCATTAAGAATGGTATTCATCTTCTTATGCCCTGTTGTATGGATCATGATGTCATCAGCATAGCTTATAGTTATATGTTTAGGTGAGGCAGGCAGAGCATTTAGGAGAGCATTAATCAGAATATTAAATAGCATGGGACTGAGAACTCCTCCTTGCGGTGTACCTAGGGATATTTCTTTAGACTCGCTTCTAAAGCCTTGGTAGAGGACAGAGGATACTCTGTTTGACAGGTATCCTATTATCCAGCAGAGGAAGCTACCACCAATATTCATTTTGGCTAGATCATGTAGTATGACTGTTCTGTTTGCGATACCAAATACAGAATTTAGATCAAGAAATGTGGTAAAACTAGCAGAGGTGTGTGCTAGGTTAACCAACTAGCAGTGTGCTAGGTTAACCAACTAGCAGGGTGCTAGGTTAACTAGCATGTAGAGTGTGTTAGGTTAACTCACTTGTTCCAGGGAGCGAGCATTGGTGAAGTAAGGATTCCACTTTGGAAGGTCCTGTAGTGGGAGTAGACACCACCTCCACCGTCAGTGGTGGCAGCAGTAACAACAACAGCAGCAGCAACAGCAGGAGTACCAGGAGCAGCAGCAGCAGCAGCAGTATAATAAAGCAAGGAATAGAAAACAAAGGGAGAGTAAGAAAGTTATTACAAGAATAATACAGAGAAGAGGAGGTAAGAATTATTTTAATTATACACACACAACACACACACACACACACACACACACACACCACATATATATATATATATATATATATATATATATATATATATATATATATATATATATATAATATATAAACCATCCTCTGCAACTTCTCAGAATCTCCCAAAAGCACAGTGTCATCAGCAAAGAGCAACTGTGACAACTCCCATTCTGTGTTATATTCTTTATCTTTTAACTCCACACCTCTTGCCAACACTTGAGCATTCACTTCTCTTACAACTCCATCTATAAATATATTAACAACCACGGTGACATCACTCATCCTTGTCTAAGACCTACTTTTACTGGGAAATAATCTCCCTCTCTCCTACATACTCTAACCTGAGCCTCACTATCCTCGTAAAAACTCTTCACTGCTGTCAGTAACCTATCATTTATTCTATACACTTGCAACATCCACCACATTGCTCCCCTTATCCACCCTATCATTTGCCTTTTTCAAATCCATGAATGCAACGAGAACTTCTTTAAACTTATCTAAATCTTGTTCACTTATATGCTCAGTATAAACACCTGGTCTACACACCCCCTACCTTTCCTAAAGCCTCCTTGTTCATCTGGTATCCTATTCTTAATTCTTTCAATAATAACTCTACCATACACTGTACCAGGTATACTCAACAGACTTATTCCACTATAATTCTTACATTCTCTTTTTTCTCCTTTGCCTTTATACAAAGGAACTATGCATGCTTTCTGCCAATCCCTAGGTACCTTACCCTATTCCATACATTATTAAATAATAGCACCAGCCACTCCAGAACTATATCCCCACCTGCTTTTAACATTTCTATCTTTATCTCATCAATCCCAGCTGCTTTACCCTCTTTCATTCTACCCACTGCCTCGCACACCTCCCTCACACTCACTCCTACAAGATGTTATACTTCCCTGACCAATGCACGAAATCACAGCTTCCCTATCTTCATCAATACTTAACAGTTCCTGATACCTGGAGAGAGCATTACCTGGAGAGAGTTCCAGGGGTCAACATCCCCGCGGCCCGGTCTGTGACCAGGCGTCATGGTGGATCAGGGCCTGATCAACCAGGGTGTTACTGCTGGATTCATGCAATCCAACGTATGAACCACAGCCCGGCAGGTGAGGTACTGACTTTAGGTGCCTGTCCGGTGCCTGTTCTAATAACTCTCCTCATCTTTTAACTGTCAAATCAATTAATTCCTTAGGCTTTCTTAACCTATTACTCTCACTCCAAATTTTTTTAACAGCATCTCACCCACTTGCTCATTTGCTCTCTTTTCACACTTCCTTACCACTCTCTCAACCTCTCTTTTTCTCTCCATATACTCTTCCCTCCTTGTATCACTTCTACTTTGTAAAAACTTCTCATGTGCTAACTTTTTCTCCCTTACTACTCTCTTTACATCATCATTCCACCAATTGCTCTTCTTCCCTCCCACACCCACTTTCTTGTAACCACAAACTTCTGCTGAACACTCTAACACTACATTATTAAACTTACCCCATATATCTTCTACCTCATTGCCTATACTCTCACTAGCCCATCTATCCTCCAATAGTTGTATAAATCTTACCCTAACTACCTCCTCCTTTAGTTTATAAACCTTCACTTCTCTCTTACTTGCTGCTTCTATTCTCCTTGTATCCCATCTACCTTTTACTCTCACTGTAGCTACAACTAAAAAGTGATCTGATATATCTGTGGCCCCTCTATGAACATGTACATCCTGAAATCTACTCAACAGTCTTTTGTCTTCCAATACGTAGTTCAACAAACTACTGTCATTACGAGTTATATTAGAGCTTCCACAATCACCACCACAACTACCACCATCACCACAACTACCACGACAACCACCACCATCACCTACCACGCTCCACATCAGACCAGCCATCACAATCTCTACGATCACCAATACAACTAATACCACCATAACTCCAACATCACCATCCACTACCATCACCATCCACCTACCATCACCACCACTAACTACCACTCACCACAACTACCACCATCCACCAATCCCAAACTACCCCATCACCACCACAACTACCACCCACAATAACTACCACCATCACCACCACAACTACCACCACCATAACTACCACCATCACCACCACAATACCACCACATAACTACACACAATCTATCCACCACCAAACTACCACCACAACTACCATCCCAATAACTACCACCATCACCACCCACAACTACTCCACCACAAAACTACCACCATCACGACAATCCACCACCACCCCATCACTACCACCACAACCATCACCACAAAACTACCACCATCACCACCACACTACCTTACCACCACACTCCACCACACCACAACTACCACCATCACACTACCATCACCACCACAACTCCACCCCTAACTCCACCATCACCACCAACTACACACAATAACTACCACCACAACTACCACCACCATAACTACCACCACAACTACCACACAATATACCACCATCCCACACAACTACCACAACACACCCACAACTACCACCATCACCAAACTCCACCACAACCACCACCATCACTACCACCAACCATCACTACCACAAAACCATCACCACCACAACTACCATCACACACAACTAACCACCACAACATACCACCATCCAACTACCTCACCACCACAATTACCATCACCACCACAACAACTACCACCATCACCACACAATACATCACAATAACTACCACCATCACCACCACAACTGCACCACCAAAACTACCACCACCCCCCAAAACTTACCCACAATAATACCACCTCACCATCACAACTCCCACCAAACCCACAAACTCCACCATCCCAAAACTCCCCCACCACCAAACCCACCACCATCGCTACCAAACAACCACCATCACCACCACAATACTATCACCCCCAAAAACTAAGTCCCCACCAAAATTTAAACCTACAACCCAACTACCCCATCCCCACAGTACCAACATTCCACCAAAACCCCAACCAAAAAGCTACCACAAGAACCACCTCCCGCACAACTCCCCCCATCCCAACACACTCCCATCCCACCCCTCCCCCAATCACAACAGCTTCGACCATCACCACGACAACTCCACCCCATTTTCCATCACCACAACTCCCAAACCACCCAAAAGAACTCCCAACCCCCCAAAAATGCAACCTCTCCAAAACACCAAAAACCCACCAAAACTCCACCATCACTACCCAACTCCCCTTTTTGCCACTCCAAAAACCTCATCACCCAAAACACCCCCATCCCCACTACAACCACCCCACAACTACCACCACCCCACAACAGCACCACACACTACCACCCCCACCAACTCCCTCACCACCACAACCACCATACCACAATTCCACCCCCCAAAATTCCATCACCCCCACAACCCCCATCACCGAACTACCACCCCCCAAAACAATTTCCATCACCCCACAACCCCCTCACCGCAATCCCCCCCCACAACAATTCCTCACCCCCCACAAACCTTCCCCGAACCCACTCCCAAAAATTTCCATCACCACACAACCCCATCACCACAACTCCCCCCCCCACAACAACTTCCATTACCGCAAAACCACCATCACCACAATACCACTCCCACAACAACACCATCCCCACAACCCATCCCGCAACTACCACCCCCACAACAATTTCCATACCAGCACAACCACCATCCCACAACTACCCCCCCCAAAAAAACTTCCCCCCAACCCAACCACCATCCCCCAAACTCCACCCCCAAAACAACCCCATCACCACCAAAACCCACCATCAAACAAATACCACCCCCAAAAACTTCCATCCCCACCAAAAAACCACCTCCCACAACCCCCACCCTACAACAACTTCCAACCCCCGCAACCACCATACCCAACTACCCCCCTACAACAATTCCTTTCACCCCAAAACCCCATCACCAAAATACCACCCCCACAACAACTTCCATCACCCCCACAACCACCATAAACAACTCCCACCCTAAAAAAAACAACTTCATCAACACCAAACCACCATCACCCAATCCCAAAAATACCCCATTACAAAACCCAAAAGGTTCAGTGAAGAACATGAGTAAGGGGAAAACTTAAGTACAGATAATTAACCTGGTAATTCCCCGGGAAATTACCCTTTCGGGAAAGGGCATTAATTCCCATCACTTATCCACCCCCCACCACCAGGGTTAATGACGAAATGGTTATGTCCCCCCTTTATTAATGACCCACACGGGTTTAAATGATCACCATGGTTAATGCCCACCACTGGTTAATGATCCCATGGTTAATGCCCCCCTTTAGTTATGATCCACACGGGTTAATGACCCATTACGGTTAATGATCCCCCTTTTTTAAAATGTCCACACTGGTTAATGATACCCCAGGTTTAATGATCCCCCTTTATTTAATGATCCACAGGGTTAATGATCCTTATGATTAATGCCCCCCCTTTTAGTTAAGTCCACACGGTTAATGATACACCACGGTTAATGACCCCCCTTTATTTAATGACCACATGGTTAAATGATACCCCACTGGTTAATATCCCCCACGGTTTAATGACCCACCACTGGTAATGATCCACATGGTAATGCCCTCCAATGGTTGACCCCTTTGGTTGATCACCACGGGTTTAATGATCCACCACTGGTTAATGATCGCCAGGGTTTAAATGCCGACCATGGTTAATGCCCTCCACGGGTTTAATAAAACAGGGTTTAAATGACCGCCACGGTTGAGATCCACCATTGGAAAATGGTCTCAACTGGTTAATGTACACCCGGTTAATGTCCCCCCTTGGGAAGATCCCCCACGGGTTAAGACCACCTGTTTAAATGATCCCACGGGTTAATGATCCCTTGGGTT